ATTCGGAGCTGGACTCTCCAGAGAAGCCATTTGTGTGTTTTAACCACATGAATGTGTATAAACACCAGAGGGAAAGGGACTGAGTAATACTGGAAAAATGATTGTGGCCCAGGAGAAAATAGTGGTATAAATAATAGGGGCGGTGTCACCTTCTTCCCTGCACTGTAGGCAGTTGTAAATTCACATTTACCCAATACATCTGGAGTGTGTGCCAGTGCCAGGCCTGGGGCTAGATGCTTCAGCAATCCTCTGTGCAGCTACCTTGGCCTCATAGGCCTGTGCGGAATGGATGCTAGCACCGTCCTGTGGGTTTGGAAACCAAGGTGCAGAGAGGTTAGCGTCTCGTGGAGTGCTCAGAGCCCCGACTTCCACCCCTACTGGCTTCTCACCCCTCGCCTCCCCATCTAGCAATTCCAGGGCTGGGAGCACCCTGACTTGGCAGGCTGACCCAGACTCCATGGTGGGGCCTCCCCTCAGGCCCCTTGTTCCTTCCCCAGCATGCAGCTTCCCTTCCCAGGCCACTGGACACGGCTTTTCATCCTCTGGGTCCATCTGGAGACAGAAACCACGCCATAAGCTAACTAGGGACTTTCATACAGAGAACTATTACCTATGAGAGGTGAGCAACTCTAAGACAAAGGGAAGCTGTGTTGTTTTTCTCTAGGGCTGAGGGAGTGTGCCCAGTAAAGAATGAACATGGGAGGAAGTATGGTTCAGTCCACAGGACACAGAGATGTGCCCACCATTTGGCTGGGCCGGAGCCAGTCTGGAGTTGCTGGCAAGCAGTAGCCCCCAGTGTGGGCAGGAGAGTAGCCATCAGCTTCCAGCAGTGATGGGTGCCAGGGGGTCCAGGCACCTGCAGAGGCAGGAGGCCTTGGGAGTGTGGGGACTCTGGTTTCCATGTAGAGAGGGATGTGGGAAGATTATCACCAGGCCGAGACTGCAAGGTGGCAGTGGGACAGAGTTCTGGGCCCGTGGCTGGGCAGGCCCCTCTGGTTGTCCTCCCCCACCAGTCACCCAGGCTGGCAGGAGAGCTGCTGCCTCCTCAATGCTCCTCAGCACACTCCACTGACACAGCTCAGCACCCTGCACGTCATGGAGAAAGAGCTGAAGGATGCAGCCTGTCTCAGAGTGGGTAGTGACAGGGGCGTCAGGACCTGAGGGGCAGTAAACTGCCACCCCCAGTGCACTCGCCGCCCACCCTGTCAGAGGAACAGCCCTCACCTTGTGCAGAGACTTCACCTTTACGGTACCCGCCATCACCGCGCCCAGGGCAGCCCCACAGTGCTGCGCATGCTGGCCTGCCTTCCTGGCACTGTGTCTCTCCCCTTTTCTCTCACCAGGCCTGGCACAGAAAAAGTTCTCAAGCAGCATGTGCTGCCTGAACTCACATTGCCACAGTCAGGGCCACAGCCCCTTGGTGAGAGCGAAGGGCACCACCTGGGAAGGGACAGATTCTAGTGCACCTGCCCCATCATCTTCTGCTTTCAGAAGTCCCATGACTAGAAACTGCAAAGGTCAGAACATCTGAGTCTTTGATGGAATCTGTTGGAGATGCTGGTAGTTGCTGCTCTGTGAGCCACTTTATTGTTCAACCCTAAACCTTAAGAAACCAGCAGATGCCCTTTCCGAAGCTGACAGGCCCAGGTGCCCAGTAGTGTTTCCTTGAACGTCTCTCTTTTGCAGTATAATTGATGATATGTAAGCTGAATAGAGATGTTGCTTTCTTTCCCCATTTCAAGTGCACATTGGACTATAGCTAATCTTTCAGTGCAAGAACAGCACGCATATACCAGAGGCAGAACTCAGAATTTTCCTGGGCATTGTCTCTAGCATGTCCAATCAGTTTCCCTGTGCCTTTTAACAGGAGCTGTCAGCCTGCCGTTCTACCCATCTCCCCACAAGCCCACACATTTCAGAAAACAGCTGCGGCTGTCACCTGCCTCCTTTCACACAGTTTGGACAGGGGTCCCATATGGGGGCCTTCACCCAGGTTTGTATGCATGTGCCAAACTCATTACCAGCTCCCAGGCACTATGCAGGGAGGACTCAGACCTCTAAATTGGGATATGAGGTTCACCTCCCAGCCTGGACTTCAGATTTCTCCTCACCCACTAAGATCCCTCTCACCAAGTCCCAGCAAGTCTCCTTGTCTCCTCTCGTGGTGGGCATTGCCCTGGTCTGAATTGCTCCAGGGCATAGCCCCCTCTCCCGCAGGCAGGCTACCTCTCAATGCTTTGCAGGGCTCAGCTTGAGAAGGCGTGGCGGGTCCTGACAGCCAACAAGAACCACGCTTTCTTGCCTGATCTTCAGCACCCCCACAGTCTGGCGCCCATGCCCCTCTCTAGCCTTGTGCCCAGCTCACCTGGCAACAGCATCTGCACAGGCTGGGCCTTCCCCAGTCCTCACAGACCAGAGCAGCCTCCTGGGTGGGTCCAGCATCAGCCTAGGTAGGCGCTCCCCATTCTGGGGTGATATCTTATGCTGCCGTGAGGCTGTCACATTAGACGATACTCAGCAGTGGCCTCTTGTGTGCATTGTATTTTTCTAAGTACATCATAAGTTTCCAAGCAGGGACCATGTGCTAAATTTAAATGACTTCCCTACAGTCCCCAGTAGGCACATGAGGGACACCACTCAGTGGCCGATGGGAAAGCCGAGGGCCAGCTTGGGAGACTTCTGACAATAGGGCCACAGGAGATGCCCCCAACCCTGGTGGAGTATTGGAGAAGACAGACAAGCTGCCTCCAAGGACATGCATTCACTCAATCATTAGGCTTGTGCTGCAGGTGAGGTTTTGTGGGTAGAGTTAGCAGAGTTCTGCAAAGACATGCTGCTAGTGAATGTTTACTCTGCGTGGATTACAGCCTCTCTCCCCCGTTTTTCAGCTTGCCCAGCTTCCCTCTGGGTCACGCAGTTAGGTGGTGTCACGACCAGGGACTTGTCTGAGTGGCATGTCTCCTGGTGAAGGCAGTAGCCTGTGGGATGACATCTGACAGAAACTTACTGTGGTTTGGGCCTGGGTGGCAGGAGGCCAGCAAGGACCTACAGGGCTGGGGCTGGCATCTTGTCACAACAAAGCCCTGCGACTCTGGAACGGCGGAGGGTGGGTCCAGCTTTGCGCATGGCTGAAGGCTCACACTGCCCATTCTCAGGCAGCACAGCTCTCACTGAGCAGCAGGGGGTCACCAGGGTTAGGGCACCATCCACCGTGCCACTACAGCTCATTCAAGGTTCACTGGCACACTTCAATGGCATGGTGGCACTGCCCTCCAGAGCAGCCCCCCTGAGCCACCTCTGCCTATGGAGCCAGGGGCTTCAGGTGTGGCCCATGGCAGGCCATGGGCCCAGGTGCCTACAGCTCGCTCTTTCTCCTCCCCATGCTAACCTAGAACTCATCCACAGACAGTGTTGGGGTTACTGTGACACACCCCCACTTCTTCCTGCCTGGGTTGCACAGTTGCACAGTGATTCGTTTACCTCCTCTTGGGAAATACTGTAGCTCTTTTTTGAGTCTTCCTCTGTCACCAAGGCTGGAGTACAGTGGTGCAATCTCGGCTCACTACAACCTTCGCCCCCTGGGTTCAAGCGATTCTCTTGCCTCAGCCTTCTGAGTAGCTGGGACTACAGGTGTTTGCCACCACACCTGGCTAATTTTGTATTTTTAGTAGAGATGGGGTTTCACCATGCTGACCTCCGGACCTCAGGTGACATGCCGACCTTGGGCTCCCAAAGTGCTAGGATTACAGGTGTGAGCTAATGTGCCCGGTCCATACTGTAGCTCTTACAGCAAACAAACAAACAACAAATTGGCCTAATAATTTTTATTTCTGCTTTTGCTAGATGGAGCTAGAATTTTATTTTTAAAGAAGGAAAGAAAAAAAAACACATAGGCGTTTACAAAGACTGAACGTCCCGCCAGGCATGTGTCACTTTGGGTTAGCCAAGTGCCCTGCCACCCTCAGCCAGCTGCCCACGGCTGCACATCAGACAGGTCAAGTGAGCACATTTGCGTCCCCGGGCACAGCGGCACCCTAGTGGGTGTCCACTTGTCAGCCACTCCTCAGCAGATGGGGTTGGGGGGCAGGCCAGCCCCACCCATGGCACCTGGTGCTGCACAGGCTCTGTGGACCTGGGACCTTCCGGCAGGCTCCTCTCTTCACCTCAGCCTGTGGGGACCCAGCTCCGGGACCGTTGCCTGCTGCTCTCACCAAGATGCCCGCAGCCCTAGCCCGTATCTGCTGTGGTCCTGTGCGCACCCTGCCTTGAGACTTCATGCCAGTCTTTCAAGAGGGATGGGAGTCATCTGTGCTTTGGGTCCCCTCACGTCCCCAGAGGGAACAAGTGGGGACAGCACCTCCCAAGCCTAGAGCCAAGGGGCCACTCTTTCCTCAGAGGAGTCACAAAAGGTCCTAGAGCCCAGACCCTCCCCTTCTCCAGGGGCTGTCGTGCCAGCCCCCAGACCTCCCGTACTCACTCTGAATTTCTAGCCTCTTGTCCACTGAAATGGAAAACATCCTGTTTTGAGAGGAGCTATTCCCACCCATTCTCAGGTGTGCAGTATAGGACCCTGCACTGGTCCTTTGGGGTACACTGAAACTCCCAGAGCCCTTTGTGGGACAATGCCCTCTGCATTCATTTCCTGCCTCCTGTAGGAACATCTGGATCTACCTGGGTCTGCCTTTGTCTTTGTGGGCCACCCCCCTCACAGCCTGTGACCTTGGTCTCCCACCCACTCCAGGTTCCTGTGAACTTCCAGAAATTGTCCTCTGTGTCAGGACTGTGAGGCAGATGGACACTGCCAGGTCAGCCCTCGCCAGTCCGTGAGCAAGCATGCCTCTTGGTGATGCTCCTGCAGGGCTGTGACCCGGCCCCTGCCCCATGGCCCCCCAACAACCACAGGCCTCGCCTGCTCGATCTTATATCACCCAGGCTGTGGCTCAGGTTGTCTCGGTGCCTGCTGGGCCGCCCATGTCAGCCTCTCCATGCTTGCTCCGCAGGGCCTGATGCACTCCAGCGGCCCGGTAGGTCGGCACCGGCAGCTCATCCTGGTTCTGGAGGGGGAGCTCTACCTCATTCCTTTCGCCCTCCTGAAGGGAAGCTCCTCCAACGAGTACCTCTACGAGCGCTTCGGCCTCCTCGCCGTCCCTTCCATCCGCTCCCTTAGCATGCAGTCCAAGGTAAGGCTCATACACAGTGGGGGGTGGGGGAGCTTGCTCTCAGGTCACGAGGCACTGTCTATCCGGTTGGACTGGGCTGTGTTACTAAGGCATAGCTGCAATCTCCTCAAAAGTGTTGATTTTATGATTTGCACACTGGTAGCGTGACTTTAGAGTAGGTCTGTCCAAAAGTGGGGCATGGCCCTCCTGACCCCTGGCCATTCCTTGCTACCTCGAGAAGCCACAATTTGTGTCATTTCTAAGTTTCTTCGCTGTGACATCAGGGTCCTGAGCTGCTTTGAGGCACACAGCCAGGCTTGAGGCCTGACTGAGCACCTGAGGGGACTGGTCACCTCCCACCCACACAGTGCCCAGTGGGCATAGCAGAGCCACCCAGTTCACCTGGCCCTCTAGCTGACTGCTGGCCGGGACCCAGGCAGGGAGGGCAGACAAGCAAGTGTGGAGTTGAGTGGAAAACAGCCCGACAGGCCGATGGAACTGAAAACAAGTCAGGTGGCTTTCAGGGGACAAGTGGGGACACAGAAAGAAACACCCCAAAATCAAGAGAGTAACAGTGAGTGGGCCACCCTGAGTTATGGGTCTCACCCCACAGCCACCCTTGGCTCTACCCACCTGATTAGAAACTTTGGAGCCAACCTTTAATCTTCTTCCCCTTCTCCAAGCTCTCAGATCCCAAAACCCGGGCTTCCCTCTGAGCCCTCCAGTCCCACAGGGCCCGGCACCTGCCTGGCATTCCGCTTGCAGCATCCCTGCCTGCCCAGCTGCAGGACTGTCATTACCACAGGGTCTGCCTTGCTCCGTCCTCCAACTTCCAGATGCCCTCGAGCTGCCAGTTGCTCTTAGAGCCCTCAGACCCCATCTGCCCCCAGTGCCCCATGGCAGGCCGGGTGGGTCTAGTCAGATGGGCCTCTTCACAGTGGTGGAAAGCGCAGGCAGGGTTAGGAACCGGGGCTGGGCGCTGTGCATGGGTGGTCCCCACAGGGCCTGTCTTGGCGGCTTTGATGATTCGCTCATTGGCATGGCCTAAGTGGGGTCAGTTTCTGCCTGAAGGTATTTGTAGATCTGAATTTTGACCATTTTTGTAGCTGGGTAACACTTTTCTCGTGAAGTAGACAATCAGTTCAAAGTGAAAGAAATTATTTTCTCCAGGTTTCTCAAGTTTCCGTGGCTGACTCTGTGAATCTCGGATAGGAAGTGAGCTTCCTTCTGGGATTCTCAACGCTGCCACCACCCAGCGGCCCATGGCGCCAGCTGATAGCACTCTGGGTATCAGATGCCACCATCTTTGGAAAGCTTTTATTTTGATGACAACAGCCAGCCAGCTAGCTAGCTGGTTGTAGCTTAACCAGAGACCTGGAAGAGGCCATCTCCTCCAGGCACCTGGTGTTTCTCTTACCCAGAGTTTAAGGAATCACCAAGCAGAGGCACTAAAAAGTTATTTTGAAATACTTCATACTTAATGTTCATACTTCATACTTAATGTTTCCCAAGAAGTATCAAAAGTCATCACAGTGGAAATTCAGACAGATGTGACTGGGCTTGTTTATGTTGATTTTCTCATTCAGTGATACTGTTTACTTTGCAGCATATAAGGCGGAAGGGAACTAGAATTTTGTCAGTATACAGAGCTTCTTAGAGGACTACGTTTAGCCCTCTCTCCCCAGGACTTGCTTGCTTGTTTGCACCATTTAAACAGAATCACTTCTCAAGGCCCCTGACTCACCAGGACTGGGCTTCCTCTTAGGAGCCACACAGAGAGGTCTGTGGGAATGAGGATTGTGGAGCAGGCTGGCTGTCCCGGGTTCCACGGCCTCTGTCCACTCTGCCATGCCGGGGCCTCCTCCTGCAGCCCTCTCAGGACTCCTACCATCCAGTCCTGATTGTCAAGAGCTCATCATGGCAGGCGTGATTCTCAGTAAGTTAGGCACCTGTGTCAAAAAGAAGAGTGAGTGAGGTGACTGGGGAAGCAGGTGGATCCAAGCTCGACCAGCAGAGAGCTGGTCACCCCTGTACTCGGCTGACCACTGCTGGGCAGCCTGGCCGTTCTGACGTGTGGTCTGCTTTGTCCCCTCCCCTCCTAGTCTCACTTACGGAAGAACCCGCCCACATACTCCAGCTCCACATCCATGGCGGCTGTCATCGGCAATCCCAAGCTCCCATCGGCCGTGATGGACAGGTGGCTGTGGGGGCCCATGCCATCAGCCGAGGAAGAGGCCTACATGGTGTCTGAGCTGCTGGGCTGCCAGCCCCTAGTGGGCAGTGTGGCCACCAAGGAGAGAGTCATGAGCGCCCTGACCCAGGCTGAGTGTGTCCACTTTGCCACCCACATCTCCTGGAAGCTGTCGGCCTTGGTCCTCACGCCCAGCATGGACGGCAACCCTGCCAGCAGCAAGAGCTCCTTCGGCCACCCCTACACGATCCCTGAGTCCCTGCGGGTGCAGGATGATGCCAGTGATGGAGAGAGCATCTCAGACTGCCCGCCCTTGCAGGAGCTGCTGCTCACAGCCGCCGACGTCCTGGACCTGCAGCTGCCCGTGAAGCTGGTGGTGCTTGGCTCCTCCCAGGAGTCCAACAGCAAAGTCACAGCTGACGGGGTCATTGCGCTGACAAGGGCCTTCCTGGCTGCCGGCACTCAGTGTGTCCTTGTGTCTCTGTGGCCTGCGCCAGTGGCTGCTTCCAAGATGTTCATCCATGCCTTCTACTCATCGCTGCTGAATGGCCTGAAAGCCAGCGCTGCCCTGGGGGAGGCCATGAAGGTGGTGCAGAGCAGCAAGGCCTTCTCGCACCCCTCCAACTGGGCAGGTGGGAGCTCGGCCGGCTGTGGGTGCCTGTCAAGGCCTGGGGCTCAGTCCCCATAGTCCTCCGATTTCATTCTGAAAGTGGGGTTGGGGAGGGCAGGACAAGGACAGCCGTGGAAGAGTGAGGGAGACAGCCTGTGTGCCAAGTCTTGCTTCTGCCAAATGAGTTTTTCCTAGTATTAAGATCATCTTTGGACCAGGAAGCAACAAAACCATTTGCTATGAAAGTATGAATGTAAAACCCCTCCAGATGTCAGGGTACACTGGATGACCCATTCCATAGCACCTCATTTAAACCATGACCGTAGAAAGGCGCGTGCGGTAAAGAGACTCAGGATGGATGTAGCTCTCTGTCCTGGCAGTGTGCCCTGAGATAGGTTATTTACCCCTGCAGTTGTGTCCTCAGAGGTAACAAGGGGATGATGGTGGTGCTGAGGACCCCACCCGGTGCACATTTGGGAGGATCTGTAAGAGGTGTACTGAGTATCTTGTGAAGCTTCAGGCCCTGCGTGTTCTGGAATACATGTTCTTAGGGAGCCTGCGTGCAGAGGGTGCCGGAGGGTCTAGGGAGTGAAGAGAGAATGTTCCTGTGACTTCCGGTCACAAGGGTGTGGGAAGGGAGGTACCCCTCCGGTGTACAGAGCTGCCTTTCAGCTCCAGGCAACAACGTGCTTCCCCTGGGGTCCCTGTGGGAAGGTGCCCATAGCAGTCACTCAGAGGGCTCTGCTATGCCGGAGAGCCTGCCAGGCCAAGACTCACAGAGTGCAAACCACACTCTGGGCCTGTTCCCTTACACAGAAAGGAGAGGTGAGCCCTGTGGTTTCCATTAGTGCCCTTGCCGTACAAGTCCTGTGCTACATGCTCCTGGCAGTCAGAAGGGGCTTTGGGCCCCACAGAACCTACTACAGGGCTTGTGGGAACCTGGCCCCTTTCCTGTCTACAGGTCTTCCCAGTGTGCTTACGGGCATGGAATTTTGAAAAAGGTCTTGGTTTAGTTTTGTTGATACGTAATATAAGTCACAACTTTGTTCTGGATGAAACAATTTTTAGTGATGCTCTCCTCTTACCTTTAAAAATAGGTCATTCTCAGGCTGGGCATGGTGGCTCACACCTGTAATCCCAGCACTTTGGGAGGTCAGGTGTTTGGGACCAGCCTGACCAACATGGTAAAACCCCATCTCCACTAAAAATAAATACAAAAATTAGCTGGGCGTGGTGGCGGGTGCCTGTAATCCCAGCTTCTTGGGAGGCTGAGGCAGGAGAATCACTTGAACCAGGGAGGCGGAGCTTGCAGTGAGAGCCCAGATCACGCCACTGCACTCCCACCTGGGCAACAAGAGCAAAACTCCATCTCAAAAACAAAAACAAATCAGCTTGTTCTCTTAGAAAATCCATTTCCTACACCATTTAGTGCAGGTTGGTCCTGAAGTTGCCCGTGAGCTTGAGGAACCTGCTCCCCCAAGCTCCGTTTTGGAAGTGTGTGTGGAAAGGAGCAGGCGGGATGCGGTGCTCCTTGGCCCGGCTGGTCTTTCCCAGGCGAGCTGAGTTTGCTGGTTTAGAACTGGAGTAGTCACTCCTGCCTCCCCGTGGCCCTGAGGAGGACGGGAGCGTACCTCCCTGCCCTGGCATGTTCCCTCCTACAGGCCTAGAGATAGACATAGATGAATTTCAGAGAAAATAAGGCAGGTTTCCCCACTACACTTCCCACTTGACTCCTTTCTGCAAAACAGCAGGCCCCACTTACCTGAACAGCTAAACAATATTGATTCTTAAAAGGAAGGAGACAGGCCAGGTGTGGTGGCCCACACCTGTAATCCCAGCACTTTGGGAGGCTGAGGTGGGCTGATCACGAGGTCAAGACATCGAGACCATCCTGGCCAACATGGTGAAACCCCATCTCGACTAAAATACAAAAATTATCTGGGTGTGGTGGTATGCGCCTGTAGTCCCAGCTACTCAGTAGGCTGAGGCAGGAGAATTACTTGAATGCAGGAGGAGGCGGCGGAGGTTGCAGTGAGCCAAGATTGTGCCACTGAACTCCAGCCTGGTGACAGAGTGAGACTGTATTCAAAAAAAAAAAAAAAAAAAAGTGGACCAAAGGGTGCCCACATCACCGCCCAGGAGTCAGATGCTGTAGTCCAGCCTGTGAGCCACTTGCTCTTTCTGCTGGGTTAACTGTGAGGCGTAAGTGAGCCCTTGAAGCCAGGTGGGGCTGGGGGTCTCCAGCCACCCTGCTGAAGTGCCCTCCCATGCTCTCCGCAGGGTTCATGCTCATCGGGAGTGACGTTAAGCTGAACAGCCCCTCATCGCTCATTGGCCAGGCTCTCACAGAGATCCTGCAGCACCCGGAGCGCGCGCGGGACGCCCTGCGAGTGCTGCTGCACCTGGTAAGAGGGCCGGGCTGGACCAGAAGGGGAACGCAAGGTTTCCTTACATTGGGATGTGAGCAGATGGAGAGGGCATCGTGACTGGGGCCATGTCCAGGGTGTCCCTGGGTTGAGCCTGCTTGGGAGACCCTCGTCCCAACAAAGCATAAAGTGGGCAGCATCCCCAGGGTGCTTCCGTGGACGTCCCTGGGATGAGCCCACTGGCCTGAGTAGTAGGCACAGTGTGTGGTGCCATACAGGTGGCTTAGCGGTACTCACTGGGGCCCTGGGGGAAGGGCAGCCAACGATAGTGACCCACACCCTAAGCTGCTTCTAGGCCATGTGGCTTTGGGCAAGTCACTTTGTCTCTCTGAGCCTCAATGTTCCCATCTGGAAGGGGGATAAAAGTTTAACATCTCAAGGTTGTGAGGATTTAAGAAAATGTGAGCACTTGGTGCACAGTAGAGTCCGAAGTGGAGAGATACTATTTTACCATCAGATGACGCCAGTCTGCCCCTAATGAGTCCAAGTCTGATCATGCCCTTGACCAGCCTGCCCCAACATCTGTGGAGCCCAGGTGAGGGCACAAATGGAGGGCCCTCGTCTACATGTGTAAAAGTCCTGAAGTGAGTCAAACAGTGACGTAAAACTCGTTTCATCCTCCTACCTCGGTAACATCCTGGACAGCCATTTCAAATCATTTAGAGTGCTGGGCCAGAAAGACCAGCCCCGGCCCACCCCATCTCTTCCTAGCCCAGTGCCAGCTTTGGGCCCACGCAGCGTGGGTTAACAGCTATGCCACAGCCAAACTCCTTCCAAACCTGCCACAGACCCCAGGGCCTCCTTCCAGGCTGGTGCTGCACAGCCTGGCTCTGTCCATGGTTAAGATGGAGGACCCGGGGCAGCATCCACGCAGGCCTGGGAACGAGCATGTCTTCTGGGCTGTGCAGACTTCTTGCCCATGGGTTGGGCCTGAACAGGAGGGCCCTTAGACCCCTGGCACCTGGCCCTGGGCATGGTAGCTCTCCATGCACACACACATTTCTTTCCAATTTTAGTATATGTGCTGCCGAAGCGAGCACATCACACACACATTTCTTAAGTTTGGGGTCTCCTCAGGCCTGAAAGCCATCAATATATGAACACTGTGCCCAGCAAGCCCCCAGCGCTCAGGCCAGGTTCGAGATGGCCCACACTCAGGGTGATGGGAAGCCCTCTTCACTGTTCCCGGTGTCTGGAAACTGCATGGAACCTTTCAGTTCTCAGGTCCCTGTGACCCCCAAAGTCCCTGCATCCTTGCCGCCACTGCACACTGCTTTTTTTGGGGTAATGGAACTGCCCTCTCTACCCATTAGGCCACCTCCTCCCAGGCCAGGCCTCTAGCTGCCCCACATGGCCTTGAGGCACCTCAGGCACATTGAAGGGTTTTCCCTTCCTTGGCACTATCTCAAGTTCCCCAGTCCCTACCTTCTAACTCCTCCTGGATACTCCTGACCCACTGTACAGTGTGTGTTGGAGGGCCCCCTGCCAGGGTGGATCGTCTGTCCTCCCAGGCAGGCTCGTTTCCTCCTGTCTGGGACGCCGAGCCCCAGCATCCCAGTGTTTACTCACTTAAAAAGTCTTAAGTGACACCTTGGACCACTCATGCCCCTCCAGTGAGGGCACATGTGCCTCACAGGGCATTCAACATCCTAGAGTGGAGAGGTGTTTCCACCAGAGAGACGCCTACCCAGGGAGGCCTGACGAAAGCTGTTTGCACTTTTTTGCTGTGGTTCTTTTGGGGGGCAGAGTTGGGGTCTCGCTACGTTGCTCAGGCTGGTCTTGAACTCCTGGGCTCAAGTGATCTGCCAGTCTTGGGTTCCCAAAGTGCTGGGATTACAGGCATGAGCCTCCGCACCCCTCAGCTGCCCCCACTTAACCTTGAGGCCCTGAACTACTGTTTTGCACTACCGTTGAAACACTCATGTAATTCATGCAGCAGTGACTTGGGTGACTTCAGTGTAGAAGTGCCAGGCACCTGTTCAGGCCCTGGATGACAGGAGGGCACTTCCCAGTGGAGGGACCTATAGGCTGCAGAGACCAGTGTGGAGGGACCAAGGCTGAGTGGGAGGAACAGGGAAGAAGGGCATTGCCAGCCAAGACCCCATGATGGGGCGGGGCTGTGGCAGTGAGGGAGGGTACTGAAGGGCCCGAGGGTTTATCCTAGTGGGCAGGAGCCATTAAATGGTTTGAGGCAGGCCCCTGGCCTGTGTGTTGAGACACTGCTTTACTCTCTATGGAGTGTGTGGAAGGGGTGGTTTAGGGGAGGGACAGAATCCTCCTGTTGTACCAGCCTTCGAGGGCTCCGACTGTAAAGTCCTTCCCTTCCGTACCCTCCCTTGCAAGAGACCTGGCCAGTGCCCCAGTGTCATATCCTCAGGCCTGGCCACGGGGGCTAAGTGGGGTTGCAGCAGTCAGCTTGCTTCACTCCTGGGGCTTTGTGTACCCTCCAAGCCACATGGGCAGAAACTGAGGCTGGCCCAGGTCTCTGACTCACCCCCAACTCCCCCCCAGGTGGAGAAGTCCCTGCAGCGCATCCAGAATGGGCAGCGCAACGCCATGTACACGTCCCAGCAGAGCGTGGAGAACAAAGTGGGCGGCATCCCTGGCTGGCAGGCCCTCCTCACTGCTGTGGGCTTCCGGCTGGACCCCCCGGCCAGTGGCCTGCCAGCAGCTGTCTTCTTCCCAACCTCTGACCCGGGCGACCGGCTCCAGCAGTGCAGCAGCACCATCCAGTCCCTGCTGGGTGAGCTGTGGGCGCAGGGCTGGGGCGGCAGGCCTAACAGCAGGTGGAACAGTTGGTGACCCTGGGCCCCACATTCATGAGGATGCTGGGTCTCAGCTAGGAGCAGGAGGGTGCCCCAGACACGAGCTTCTCCATACCTGGAGGAAACAAGGGCCATTGACCTGCCGTTTCCATCTGTGATGGCAGGCATGTGTGCCCAGCTGCTGCTGCCTCTTCCCGGGATGACGGGAGGTCGTGCTGGCAGACACTGGCCACTTTTGCCATTGTCATCTGCAGCTGTGGTGATGACGCTGTGTGGCCAACCCCCGGGTGAAGCTAGGTGCCTGACTTGGTGTGGTGCTGCCTGGGTCCTGGGAGTGTGGCCATGCCTAGAACTGTGGCAGGGTCAGGACTCGCCCCACTTCCACCCGCCTTCCTGGGAGACCACGCTGTCCTTTTCCAAGTCATACACAGACACACAAGTCCAGCTGTGCTGAGCTTCTGAAAAATGCCACCAATGCAAAAGATTTAGGGTTCTTTCCCCTGGGAAGGTGGCAGTCTGTGGGTGCAGAGGCCCTTCTAACTTCTTCCCTCTTTTCTTGGTTTAGGTCTGCCCAATCCTGCCCTCCAGGCCCTTTGCAAACTCATCACTGCCTCGGAGACGGGCGAGCAGCTCATCAGCCGGGTAAGTCAAGCCTGGAGGGCTGAGGCAAGGCCGGAGCCCCATGCTGATTTGAAAAGGCAGAGCAACTTGGCTTAAATAGGAACCTGTAAGTTAATGTAGTCAGCCTTTGTGATTTGAAGGAGAAGGTGAGGGCTGGGAAAGAGAATAGCCCTCTCTGACAAGTGCTGTTTACCTGCTGTTTCCATCTATGAAGGCAGTGCATCCATGCCAGCAGCACTGCCCCTTACTGGGATGACAGCCGGTTGTGCTGGCAGACACTGGCCGCTATTGGCATTGTCATGGGCATCTGTGGCCCTGATGAAGCTGTGCAGCCAACCCCATGGTAAAGCTGGGTGCCTGACTCAGAGGGGCACAGAGGGACAGGCTTGCATAGTGTTCTCACGGGGTGCTGAGCCCAGAGCATCAACAGCCTTCAGAGGATGCTTCTGGGGCCCCTGTCACCTGTGGTCTCGGGGCATTTCCTGAAATCTCCATGTAGTGGTCTCCTAAACCTTGCCCTCCTCACCACCTTTTCGGCAGATTGACAAGTGTTACAGCCACTCTCCCCCAGCTACCAGGTGTGGGCCAGCCCGCCAAGACGGGTGCAGGTGCTCCCATACTTTACTTTAATCAAAGGTCTTACCATGCCTGAAACAAGACAGTCACCGAGGCGAAGCAGGGAACTCTAATGCAAGATACTGCCTAGCAGATGCGTTTCCTTTCAGGAAAATAGAGATCTAGTTCAGGAGTTCGGGGGTTCTGATTCTTAGCATCATGTAGGTCCTCTGCAGCTTGGCCTGGGAGCTTCTCAGTACCTATGCTGTAGCAGTCCACTCTGGCCAGTGAGAGGCTGGGCCAAGCTCCAGGGGGACAGCTGTGGGAGCACTTCTGGAGGGTGGAGCAGCCCTTGAAGAGCACAGAGCTGCTTTTCTGGCCATATTGGAGTGTCACAATTTGAAAAAGTAATATACATTGTCATTAGAGATATTTGCTAGCAAATTTCACTTAAGCAGAAATATTTCTATAGAGAAATAAAGCCACTCCATCCAGTATTAGCCTCTGAAACTCTGAGTGCTGTCTGGAGCTTCCTTTCACCTGGGGCTGTTTCCACCTGGATTTGGAACTCAGAACCAACAGTGACCTGTCCCCTTGGCTGAGTCCCTGCTCATTTTGTAATAAGTGTGTTATGCCTGCTTCTTGAACAGCATCAGGAAGACACTTCCAGAACATTGCATATTAAAGCATCCTGAACCCAGGCGCTCTAGAGGTCTGGTTCTACAGAATCTGAAAGCCAGAACTGTATTCCATTTGCAGGGCTACGCTGAGGCCAAAAGAGCCAGTTGCTTAATTTCTTGCTTTTGATGTGAGCACAGGGGCTTTCTGCCTGATATGCTGTGGGGCCCTAGGGACGTGTCCCGCAGCTGCCCCCAGCCGTGGTGGCTGGTGGACCTTTCCTGGGTCACTCGGGAACCAGGGACTTTGGTTTCTTGAGCCGGCTACAAATGCCCACTGCGCTCTTTCCCTCCTGAGCCTCTACTGGCTGGGGAGGGAGGCCTGGCTGACGCTGCCCCTGAGCCCCTGGACCCACACGTGGCTGGCCTGGGTGTGGCTGTCCGTTCTCCTGTGTGTCCCTTGCTGACTCTTGCTCCTCTCCCCTCCCGGTCAGAGCCGCGGGCCTGGTGTGGCGCTTCCTAAACAGTGATCAGCTCGTGTTGCATAACAGCCTGTGCTTGAGTCTAAACTCTCTTCTCTCTCTCTTTTTCTTTCTTTTTCTTATAATCTGCTGGCCGAAGGCTGTTAAAAATATGGTTGGAATGGTGAGTACTACTTTAAGTAGCAACTGTCGTCAGGTGAGCCCCTCCACCCGCCCACCCCCAAGTCTCCCTGGGCAGTCTCTGAGCTCAGGGTGCACGTGCTGTCTAACGGAGCCACGCGGGCTGTGGCGCTCCAGGCTGGCGCCCACTGCCACTGGCTCCGGCGGCCTGTCCCCTCCTCTGCTCTGGCTCCCCTCTTCCTGCTCCACCCTTCTTGTGTCCTTGATTTGACCCCTTAAGGTCCACCAGAACAGCAGGGGCAGAACAAGCTCTGAGTGACACTCTGTAAACCCACACACAGACCCCTGAGGAGAAGTCACAGACCCCGAGATCTGAAAGGAAACGGACACTTGAGTGGGCCATGTGGGTTAGTCCCTGAGCTCCGAGGCTCTAAGATGTAACCAGGTTCCTCTTGGCCATCCACCTCAAGGTTCTGCAGATGACTTACGAGGGAGGTGGCTGGTCCCCTAACTCATCCCTTTGAGTCTCCACGGCCTCTCATCTGAGGCTCGAGGTAGAACCAGGCCTGGGCCCCGGCCCCGGCAGGCCACACGCCTCTTGCCCCACTGCCCATGAGCTTCCCACAGAGGACAGTAGGTATGACAGCACCTGAAAAGGAATTTCAAATGCTACACACCCGTGAGAGGGTCATTAGCGATGCCAGTGACAGGTGACATGAGAATAATGGGTTGAGTCCTGAGGCGGGGTGGCGGGGAAGGAGACACAGGGTGCTCACGTTGTCTTCCCTTCCTCAGCTCCACCAGGTGCTGGTTCAGCTCCAGGCTGGCGAGAAGGAGCAGGACTTGGCATCAGCTCCCATTCAGGTCTCCATCAGCGTCCAGCTGTGGCGGCTCCCGGGATGCCACGAGTTCCTGGCAGCTCTAGGTAGGCCAAGCATCCTTGACTTAATGGGTTCTTTAATTCAATTTTTTAAGTCTCTGTTTTTCCTGCTGGTTTCTACCAGGCAAAGTATCTCAGTGTCTTCTGAAATATTATTTTAAAAGTTAACGCAGGCTGGGTACAGTGGCTCATGCCTGTAATCCTAGCGCTTTGGGAGGCTGAGTGGGGAGGATCACTTGAAGCCAGGAATTTGAATCTAGCCTGGGCAACATAGGGAGACCCCATCTCTACAATAATAAAAAAAAAAAAAAAATTAGCCTGGCATGGTGTACATTCGTGTAGTCCCAGCTCCTCAGGAGGGCTCAGACAGGAGGATCTCTTGAGCCTGAGAGTTTGAAACTGCAGTGAGCTCCACTGTCCAGCCTGGGTGACAGAATGAGACTCTTTTTTTCCTTCCAAAAAAAAAGTGAACTCAGATTCTAGTGGGTTAGCAGGACTCCCAAATGGGACAAATGGCTTTGTGCCATTTCCCCTGCACAGTGATTTCATCTCTCTCAATTGTGCCCATTACCTTAATATGAATCTGCTAGACTCTAGTATTATGGGAGGTCAAGTGTGATTAGGAGCTAAAGAAAACCAAAATTAGAGTCGTAAGGTGATAATAGTTTCAGTATTGTCCTCTGTCAGTGGGTGCTCAAAACTGGCAGGAAAACAGTACTATTAAAACCACCTCTGAGTGACCGTGGGCACCTGGGACTGCATACAGCAGGGGCCTCAGTCAGTGCAGGACACTTGATTTCCCTTTCTCTTACCATTTGTAACATGCAGACATGGCTCCTGACATACTGTTGTGTGCCTCTAATAGTGCATCTGTTGATAGAACACAAGAGGCTGTGAGCTGCTCCTCTCCTGCCCCACTTAGGGGCCCAGTGACTAGCTTGGGAACCATTCACTCCACAGCTTTCTTTGGAACACCTGTTATGTGCCAGGCAATGTTCCAGGCACTGGAGATGCAGCAGCGAGCGAAAGACTAAATTCCTGCCATCCTAGAGTACACTGTAGTGGGAGAACACAATCAAACCAATACGGTGTCTAAGGGACGCCTTAGGAAGCACCTCGGCAGGCAGAAGCCGATGGGTGGGGGCAGGGGCCAGGGCAGGCCCACAGAGACTGGGGCGTTTGCGGGAGAAAGTGCCAGGCTGAGCGAACAGCCACGAAGGGGGCAGAGGGCAGGGCAGATCTGTGGGCTCGGAGGCCAGGGAAGGCCTTTGGATTTTAAACTGAGAGAAGTGGACAGCCTTGAGAAGATGACACCGTCTGACCTTACTGTTACATGGACGAACTGTCAGACATGGCCGGACAGAGAATCCTTAAAAACGCTTCTTCCCGCTCAGGGCCCCACTGTCTGACCTGTTTTGTGCACCTCAACTCAAGGCCAGCTCCATGTCTGCTCCATGTTTTCAGACACATCGTTTATTGTGAAGGTAAAGCAGGGAGCTACAGGGCCTCACAGGGGTTCTGAATCCTCTGGATTAGAAGCTTGGCATCCTTTACAGGTTGCATTACTTGATTTTTTATTTTTTTCTAAGCTTTTTTGTAGAGATGGGGTTTCACCATGTTGCCCAGGCTGGTCTTGAACTCCAAGCAACCCTCTCATGCATCCTCCCAAAGTGCTGGGATTCAGGCGTACGCCACCACTCCTGGCCTACATGCTTTTCTTCTGTGGGTTTAAAGCATCATTTTCCTGATGTAAACGTAGTAAATTTCTATGTAGTCAGCAGCAGATGGAGGCTGGACTGAGAAGGGCCAGATTCCCACCCGGGATGCTTCTCATCACTTCTGTGAGAAGCTGAAGGGCAAGTCTTGGGGGCATTGCCACAGTGAGTCAGTCAGCAAGACGCAGCTACAGCCTTGCCTTCTTTTTTTTTTGGAGACAGAGTCTTGCTCTATCACCCTGGCTGGGGTGCTGGAGTACAGTGGCATGGTGCAATCTCCGCCTCCCAGACTCAAGTGATCCTCCCACCTCAGCCTCCCAAATAGCTCGGACTTCAGGCATGCACCACCCACGCCCAGCTAATATTTGTTCATTTTGTAGACGCAGGGGTTTGCCATGTTACCCAGGCTAGTCTCCATCTCCTGAGCTCAAGTGATCTGCTTACCTAGGCCTCCCAAAGTGCTGGGATAACAGGCGTGAGCCAATGTGACTGGCCAAGACCTTACTTTATAAAGGAAAAGCTCTCTTCCTCATGGGGCCTGAGCCTCCCTTAGGTGTGGGGGTGGTGGAGCCAGCCTTCCTCCTCTGCACACTCCCTGCTTTTGAGGTCCTTTGCCAGATATATCAACAATAGTACAGAAGGAAAACCAAAAAATCTGAACATAGCTGTCTTTGGTGTTAGGATTACGGGGGACTTTAGTTGATGTTTCAGTTATTCTCTGTATTTTCCAAGTGCTGTTGATACTCAAGGGGTGAACTGGTGTGCATGTGTCGGCAACCTTTACAGCCTTTTGACGTAAAGCTGGGAGAGGAGAACGGTGTCCGGCAGGCCTGTCATGTGGGGAGAGGTGGCTGGCTCACTCCTAGGGCTCTAAGGCTCCAAGAGTTGCCCCTTTCCAGTGCTCAGCAGTAAGCACACAGCTTCACAACCCAGCATGGGCTGCCAGAGACTTCAATCATTTTAGTAAAAGTCAAGGTTTCTAATGGAAACTTTACATTGATACTATTTATTATTTGTTTTTAATGTGGAGTTCTCCGAGCCTGAGCAAGTCTTCCTGTTGCTTTCAGAGACTGTTTACTTTCAAATTCAGAGAGGAAAATGTCCCATAACAACCAGAATGTTCCTCTACTGAACCTAAATTCCTACGGGAATGATAGTCTCCGAATCCCCAAGTACAAGTACAAAGGCTGGCTGGCTGGCTAGACGAGAGAGGGAAGGGTGTGCTCTTGTAGGTATCCAGCCCTTCGCAGTGTTTCAAGGGGAGCTCAGGGACGAGGGACGCTGAGTGAAGACTTTCCATGCTCAAGACTCTCCAGGCCCTAAATTCTTGCTTTGTGGTCCCCGTCTGTATTAGTCTGTTCTCACAATGCTATAAAAATATCACATGAGACTGGGTAATTTATAAAGAAATAAGGTTCAGTTGACTCACAGTTCTGCATTGCTGGGAGGCCTCAGGAAACTTACAATCATGGCGGAAGGCGAAGGAGAAGCAGGCACCTTCTTCACAAGGTGGCAGAAGAGAGCGCACAGGGAAAATGCCAGACACTTACCAAACAACCAGATCTCATGAGAACGCCCTCACTATCATGAGGACGATCCAATCACCTCCCACCAGGCCCCTCCCTCATACCCAGGGATTACAATTTGAGATAAGATTTGGGTGGGGACACAGAGCCAAGCCATATCCCCATCTGTGGCCATAGCATCTGTGCTTGGCTTCTCCCCAGGGTGACATACTTGCTAGTGTCCCTGTGTCTCTTAATGTGTTAAAGTGCTGTGCCCACAGCTTGTTAGCCAGCCTCTTGCTCAAGAAGCTCCAGACCCTGTGTTGTACCTGCTCTGAGTCTCATTAGAGTCTTCTACTTACAATCAGGGAGCAGCACCTCTGGGCTTTGGCAGAGGCAGAGAAGTCCCTGCAGATTTCCCATTGTCAGAGAGCGCTCATTTCAAAGCCCACGGGGGCAGACACTGAACATGCATGAAGGCATTGTCTTTGCCCTTGAGAAACTTCACCTTACCGTGTACCAGCTTTAAATATTGCTCTCAATGCTGAATGGAGTGGCCAGTTTTTGTCCTGGACAGCCTTTACATATACTGTACTTCTGTGAAAAAATGGAAAAATCATGTGAGTGAGCCTTACTCAGTTCTGGTCCCTAGTGCTCAGTGAAGGGACAGATGAGAGCCATACCCATGCCAGTCAGGGGCTGCGTGGAGTGGATGTTCTGGGTGGGGCAGCCCGGCCCCCACTGTCTTCCACAGGACTGACCTTCATGGAGACAGGGGAAGCCCCAGGCCCGGATGCTTCCTGAAGGGCCTTGCAGGCATTCCGTGAAGTTGTACAAGCAGCCCTATGGCGCTCATGTTCAAGATCTGGAATCTTCCCGAAGGAAGCAGATGCTTATATGCTGTGTTCCTCTAGGTTTTGATCTCTGTGAAGTTGGTCAGGAGGAAGTAATCCTGAAAACCGGAAAGCAAGCCAACCGACGGACCGTGCACTTTGCGCTCCAGTCCCTGCTGTCTCTGTTTGGTAAGAGCCTGCCACATTCTCCCCGGGGGCCGACATCAGCACGTACATTTTGGGAAGCGGAAGAAAAGTGAATCAGCATTTTTTGTGTATGTTAGGGAACAGTTAGGGACTGTTCAGGAGCGGTAAACAAAGCTCCCAGCTCTCACGGAACCTGGAGCGTACGCGGTGCTGGCAAGTGCTCAAGCAGGGCACGGGACTGGAAAGTGGGAGGGCAGCGGCGGAGCAGATGGGAACGCGCTGACAGGCGTGCCAGGAGCAGACACCCAGGTCATGTGGGCCTGGGAGGAGATTTTCTGGCCCTGAGGAGACACCCAGCCCACGGATGCTGGCTTGGAAGGCGGTTATGGTTTGCAGGCAGAGCCGACAGGGGCTGCTAAAGGTCGTCACAGAACGGGTCAGAGTGGTATCCTGTTTTTTTGGAAGAACTGCCAAAATGGTCGCCCTCTGCTGAGGTCAGGGCAATGGCAGGAGCAACGGGCTTGAGTTCCATCGGGGAGACCTTCGGTTTGGGGTATCCATTAGACACCCATGCAGGCAGCTGCTATGTGAGTCTGGAGTTCAGGGAGAGGTCAGCATGAAGATAGAAACGCGCATGGCATCACCCGGGGTGCATGCAGGGCGGAGGGGAGAGGATGGTGTCCTTTGGCATTCCAGGCTTCAGAGTGATGAGAAGGGCGCTGTAGAGGAGGGATAGTGAGGGCAGGGTGTCCCACTGCAGAACTGAGCAGTGGACTCTGGATTTGGCAGTATGGACCTCATTGATGACCTTTATGAAAATGATAGGGACAAAAACCTGAGTGGAGTAGGTTGAGAGGGTAGGGGAGAGGTAGTGTGGACAGCGAGTGTAGACGATGCCAGAGGGACTTGTGGGAGGGAGCTGGAAAGGAGGGCAGGAGATACCACAGACGGCTCACAGGCCCCAGGAGCACGGAGGAGGGAGCCCTGCTCAGAGGAGGGCGGATACAGGGTCCCGCTGCATGCGACAGGGAGCAGAGTAGACATGGGCCGTGGTGGTGGCAGTCCAGGGTGTGTGTGGCTGTGAACTCTCCTAGAGTGACTTTTGTACCTATGTTAGATTTACTTTTTCTAACAGGACCATATTTTTGAGGATTGTAAGATTAATTCAAGTAGTGTATATGAGTAGTTCTTGTATAATTCTTTGCTAGCTTCTATGCATATAAGGATGTTGTAATTTTGAGAGAAAAATCAAAGTGATCCAGAATTCTAACTGCCCTTTGGGCCCTTGTGTTTTGTGCTTAGATTCCACTGAGCTACCCAAGCGCCTTAGCCTCGACAGCTCCTCCTCCCTGGAGTCTCTGGCTTCTGCTCAGTCTGTTTCCAACGCCCTACCCTTGGGCTACCAGCACCCCCCCTTCTCTCCCACTGGTGCAGACAGCATTGCCTCAGACGCCATCTCTGTGTACAGTCTGAGCTCCATTGCCTCCTCCATGAGCTTTGTCTCCAAACCTGAGGGTGGATCAGAGGGTGGAGGCCCGGGAAGGCAGGACCATGACCGGTCCAAGAACGCTTACCTGCAGAGATCCACCCTGCCTCGCAGCCAGCTGCCTCCCCAGACCCGCCCTGCAGGCAACAAAGATGAGGAAGAATATGAAGGGTTTTCCATCATCAGTAACGAGCCCTTGGCAACCTACCAAGAAAACCAAGAGACACGCTTCTCACCAGACCACAAACACCCCCGAGCTGGGGCAGCCGGAGGTGTGAGAGTCTCCGTGAGCTCCAAAGGGAGCATCAGCACTCCAAATTCTCCAGTGAAAATGACTCTGATTCCCAGCCCCAACTCACCCTTCCAAAAGGTGGGAAAACTAGCAAGTTCAGATACAGGAGAATCAGACCAGTCCAGCACAGAAACGGACAGTACCGTGAAATCCCAAGAAGAAAGCAACCCAAAACTTGATCCACAAGAGTTAGCCCAGAAAATTCTAGAGGAGACACAGAGTCATCTCATTGCGGTGGAGCGTCTTCAGAGGAGTGGCGGCCAGGTGAGCAAGAGTAATAACCCTGAAGACGGCGTTCAGGCGCCCAGCAGCGCCGCTGTCTTCAGAGCGTCAGAAACCAGCGCGTTCAGTAGGCCCGTTCTCTCCCATCAGAAGAGTCAGCCATCACCTGTCACGGTTAAACCAAAGCCCCCAGCGCGGAGCTCCTCCCTGCCCAAGGTGAGTTCCGGATATAGCAGCCCCACCACCTCGGAGACGTCCATCAAAGACAGCCCGAGCCAGCACAGTGGCCGGCCATCGCCGGGCTCCGACTCGCAGACGTCCCAGCTGGACCAGCCTCTCTTTAAACTGAAGTACCCCAGCTCTCCTTACAGCGCTCATATTTCCAAATCGCCAAGGAACATGTCCCCAAGCTCTGGCCACCAGTCTCCTGCCGGCAGTGCACCCTCCCCAGCTCTCTCCTATTCCTCAGCTGGATCCGCTCGCTCCAGTCCGGCGGACGCTCCCGACATTGACAAGCTGAAAATGGCAGCCATTGATGAAAAGGTGCAGGCTGTCCATAACCTGAAGATGTTCTGGCAGAGCACACCCCAGCACTCCACGGGGCCACTGAAGACCCTCCGGGGGGCCCCTGGCACCATGACTTCCAAAAGAGATGTCCTCAGTCTGTTGAATTTGTCACCACGGCACAACAAGGAGGAGGGGGTGGATAAGCTTGAACTGAAGGAACTGTCCCTGCAGCAGCATGACGGAGCTCCACCGAAAGCCCCTCCCAATGGACACTGGCGCACTGAGACCACCGCGCTGGGCGAGCTGCCGTTGCCCGCTGGCCCTCCTGCCACGGCCCCCATGCGCCCTTTGAGACTTCCTTCTGGAAATGGCTACAAGTTCCTGTCCCCAGGAAGATTTTTCCCTTCTTCCAAATGCTAAAGCATCTTTTATACGCACTGACTCTGAGCAGCCCGCAGACGGGGCCTGGCATTTGCTGCAGCCGTTCCCTGTCTGAGTGCAGCCCCCCCGCAGCCACCAGCACCTTCACGAAGCTGTGCTCTCCGGGCAAGAGGCACTACCACGTCCAAAGGCTGCCACACGCACTGGTGGCTTTTCTGGGCCTCTGGACCACATTCACCAAAAGCCGGGACTTCTGTGGGGCTGGTCCAAGAGGCTGGTGGAATTTCCTCCACGCTTCACCAAATGTTTGTCTACCTTCGAACTCCCTGCTTCTCATCTGTGATATGATTCTTCACCAGTATTTTGTACAAAAATGGTCTTGGTTCTTGGGTGGGGAGAGGAAAGGGAGCACATATTTTGCTAGGAGGTATATACCTTTTATACACAGAAATACAAATAGAGCTTTTTCTAAGGCTTTCAGGTGCTGGTTGGGGGTGGGAGGTATGAAATTTCTCTAAGTTGAATTCTACAGGAAAGTGTTATATTAGCCAAAAACAGAATAATGGTTTTTAAAATGCCAATGATTTGTAATTAAGTTGTAGCAATTTTGGTCTCATGATAGTGTAATATCTCAGCAACAATGCAATAATTCACATTGAAACAGCGCTTCCATTCTGAACTCTGCTCTGTAAATGTCCGTTGGGTCTCGCTGTCAACCAAACGTGAATTTTCATAAAAAAAATTATGTGACTCTTATCCAGGCATTTTAGAACTATGCAATTGTGATTTAAAATGCAACTTTGTGCTTTTAAAACATTACTGACCTTTTTTGTACATGGATAAACAACTTGGTTTTATTATCAATAGTACTTTGCATTTATAGCTATTATTTTTAAAAGCTCAAAAAGTTTTTTAAAATGTCAAATTTTGAATAGTCATCAGTAAGTAATTGTCAAGTTTGGAAGGAAAGGTTGAAATGATTCAGTTTCCTTATAAGCAAAAAGAGAAAAAAGAAAAAAAAATCCATGGTTAACTTAGATTTAACCAGAATCCTGCCTTCCAGCTCCTATTCCCTTTTATTAGCTGCTGAATTTTACTCTCCCAACTCCAGGTCCCTGAGATGTCTTCTGTCTAAATCCATTGCCAGGTCCCCGCAACCCCAGCACCTGCCTCTGTGAGCTGCCCCTAGCCCCTTGCCTTGGCCCTGGCCAGCCTCCTGCGCTCCTGCTGTCTGAGGAACCGGCCCCTCCCAGACAGCTGAAGCTGCGGGTCCACATCCTAAGTAGCAGGACCTTTTGCTGGGATGTATGCCTGGATTTACGGCCAACTGAGGAGAGAGAGAGATGTACCTTAGAAAGTGAAGGTGGACTTTTCCTACAGCTCTGACAGTAACTTAGATTGTTGCCAGCTTGAGGCAGGACAAGGGACTCACCTAGTTAGGGGTAACCATTAATTTATTTTAATAAAGGAGATGCTCAAAGTCCTATTAGTACTGAGTTTAGCTGGAGAACTGAGATAAGGATCTTTGAGGTAATTCTAAAATTCAAATCCTACCTGCCTCACTGTGGGGTTCATAGTGAAGGTGGTCAGCCACTGGGCCTGGCAGGGGTGCTGACCTCAGGATCCCCAGGTGGGGGTTTTACCCTTGGGTGGGATCTCAGCTTCTGAGCATACACTGACAGTTTCACCTGTTCCGCAGTGTACTTCTCTGAAAAGAAGAAAGGATAATATTTATCCAATCTGTGTTCTTCTCCTGTGCTCCATCCGAGGGATTTTTAATTTAACCAACAGCCATGTTGACAAAAGCCAACAAAAAGCATGTCACATTCTAGCCCTGATCCCAACACTTTGAAAGCAAAGTACTTTATAAAGAAGCCAGAGATTATGCGGGTTTCTTTACATTAGTAAGGGAAAGAATGGTAATAAAAGTACCAGTGTAGCAAGTGAAGACCAAATTTATAGCACTGTGCATTAGAGAGCAAAATCAGGTTCCTAACAATGAAAAGTAAACCTCAAGTTTCTAAATCCATATGCAGATGGTTAGGCTGTCCCTCTCTTAGCAAATCTCTCACGGTCTCTTTCCCAAGTGCCAAGGATCCCTGGAGTAAAGCTCTGGGGTCTGTGCTCTCCTTCCGTGAGGGGAAGGGTACAGCCCTATTTGCCCCCCTCTAGCAAACACCCCCACCACCCTACTGCTGCCTGTGGTTATCAAGCCAGCTAGGAGGACTCATGGACCCTAACCTGGTTTTAGTCCCATGTACACTGTTATTTTAGGTTTCGTATTGAAGAGCTAAATGGTTTACGTGATTTTATTCTGTCTTAGGTGTAAGTTTCAAGGAGGGGAAAGCAAACGTGATAAAATGATAGACCAGTTTAGAGATCACTAGAGTCACCACCGCTTTATGTCACTGTCAGTCTTGGTGTTCCTATGATTATAATGGATGTAAAAATCATAAACTCAAAGTGAATGTTTCAGGCTACACTGAAAAAAGGATGCACTTAGAATGAAGGGAAACAGTATAATTCATCAAGATTTCTTCATGTAGCTCAGCAACTATGACCCACAGGCCAACTCAGGTCAGTGGTCTAGTTTTTCACAGCCATGAGCTAAGTTAACTTTTTAAAGGGTTATATAAGTACTTAGATAATATTCTTGATTTTGCCTTTGGCCCACACAGCATAAAACATTTAATACCTGGCCTTTTTTTTTTTTTTTTCCCGAGATGGAGTCTTACTCTGCCACCCAGGCTGGAGTGCAATGGTGCGATCTTGGCTCACTGCAACCTCTGCCTCCTGGGTTCAAGCGATTCTCCTGCCTCAGCTTCCCCAGTAGCTGGGATTACAGGCGCCCACTACCATGCCCAGCTAATTTTTGTATTTTTAGTAGAGATGGGGTTTCACCACATTGGCCAGGCTGGTCTCGAACTCCAACCTCAGATGATCCGCCCGTCTCATTGCACCCAGCCAATACCTGGCCTTTAAAGAAGTCTGCTGACTCCTGGTATAGATGACAGAAAATGGATTAGCATTTTGTTTCTCCAGTCTAGGAGGAGCAGTCAGGTAGTGGATAGACTGACTGGCATCCGGGGAGCCCAGGGTATGTGAGGGCCATGTGGATGGAAGCTAATGCCTCCTGCATAGCCCTTGGCTCTCTGTCCCATTTGGGAGGAGTCCATGGATGTGGGTAATATTTATAAAACAATGTTTTGCTTGCCATTTGTAGAAAGCATTGCATATATTTCCTTTTAGCTCAGGAAACTGGCATGTCCCACCCTCTGCTACTCCATCAGATGTAAATACAATGACAATAAGCAGTACAACTCCCCTCTCTTAGAAAACTCAGCAGGACCACAGAGCAAGGGAGTCAAAGCTTTCTTAATTCTCTCCAGTAAATGACTCAACTAATCTGATGATTTCTTAATTAAGTCAAAATACCAAGAGAAAATTTGCTACTAAAACTTACATTTTGATCCACACTGATGTGCAGCACAAAATGAAAAATAGTTTTCACCTCCATCCTATTGTTTTAAATTCACGGTCCACACTGAGACTTGCTGGGTTTTAGCTGGAGATGAATGCGCCACCCACGCTGTCCTGATCCTGCCGTCTCCACCCCAGTGGCTCTCCAGTACGTGACCGTTGCAGACCGTTGCAGCAAGTTCCTGGCCCCTGTTGATCCCGCCACCTCCCAGCCACACACACTTGCAGACCCACAAGAAGAACTGTAGCCTTGATCGTTTCAGTTCAGGTTGGAAAAATGCCATGCAATAATTTGGTTTGCTTTCAGTAAGCAGGCAACAAGTGGAAACTGTCTAATTTTCCTCACCTGTTCTGCTGTTCTATCTAAATGAGTGTAACTGTGGTTTGTGAACTGGGTCCTTGTTTGTGCCAGATCCTTCAAAGTTGTTCCTTATCAGGACACCCGTGGCCCCTCCCCTCTTCAGACACCTTCCCCACTGGCATTCACGTTCCTTATATGCAGTGTTAGCCATCTTTGGCCTACGTGGACTTTTTTTGTAAATTACACAGTTTCCAGACAACATTAAACTTTTTATATTATGAAATTTACCATGTAAAAAGAACTTCATATTTTTATTGAGATTGCTAAGGCACTTGGCCTTCCTCCTTTGTGATTTCAGTGTCTATTAAAGCATGAGTTCCCTCGGTTTTAACTGCTGTATCTGGATCACTTTTTATACACTTTCCACACTGTCTGGGTTTCTCTGCAGTATACGGAGCGGCCGTGTGTCATTACTGAGCACGTATCTCTGTAGTTTATCCCCGTCTCTCCACAGCCTCACATCCCCCAGGCAGAGCACGACTGCGCCCGGCAGAGCTGTCCCACATGTGTCGGGTCTGGGGGCACTGTTGGTGGGGGGTGATTTAGACGCTACTCATGATTGGAGGGCCAGAAAGTTCTACAGTTGAATACGTATTTAGACAAACACAGAGTCCATCACCACCAGCTCCCTACATCATCAAAAGAAACTTCCAAGGAAGTTCAGAAAGAAGGACGACACTTCTATATGCAAAAATGGCAACAGTGTGAGAAGCATGAAGGAATAGTGAAGAACTGGGTAAATGCGAATACATCAACACAAATCTTGCCTTTGGATAACAGTAAAAATACTAGCCAAATGTAAAACAAGGGAGTTAAAGTGCTATAAGTTTGTGAAAAAATTGGAGATTATTTTTAGAGTAAGTTACCTATGTGTAGTCACACACACAGAAATGGAAGTAGAGGGTTATACTTCCAAACTAGTTAGCAGACGAGAAACAGATTAACTCTGGAAATCCCTGGTTGATGTAAAGGAATAGAAAAGGGAAGGAACAACAAAAACCATCTAAAAGGACAACTATATGATGAAATAATTTAATTGTACATTTCCAAATAACTAAAAGTATAACTGGATTGTTTGTAACACAAAGGATAAATGCATGAGGGGATGATACCCCATTCTAATAATGATGTCATTATTATGCATTGCATGCCTATATCAAAACATCTCACATACCCCATAAATATATACATCTATGTTCCTATAAAAATTAATAAGACAAAAGAAAAATATCAGTAATCATTATAAATGTAAGTGAACTAAATAATTAAGCAGCAGACTGACAGATGATGGCAATAAGCCACATGCTCTTTAAAAACCTATATGTAGGCCGGGCGCGGTGGCTCAAGCCTGTAACCCCAGCAATTTGGGAGGCCGAGGCGGGTGGATCAC